CTCCTCGTCCTCATCCCCGTAGGTGTTGCAAAAATTATCCATCTCCCCGAAGTCGCAGTCCGCGAACATCACCTCTTGGCTCAAGAAAGCCTACCAGTTTTAAGCATCTGATGATCTGAGGGTCATAGCCTTCGCTGCCCTTCTGTCACAGACACTGCTGAGTTCGGCAGGTAGAAAGATGAACTTCGTACGATTCTGTCGGCTTCACGGCGCCGTGAGGGCAAGGCCTTGGTGTGCAGCATCTCGCCGTCCACGTCTTCGAGGACGGCCAAAGCCCTAAGCCAGGGCTTCACAGCGAGTCAGCTTACCTCACTCGCATGGACGGTTGGGGTTTGTGGCAGCTCTGGGGAGCTGCAACCTGGGGTGGAGGCTGCGGAGTGCAAAGGACTAAACGGTGTCCATCTAACGCAGTCTGAAACCCCGAAGCCCCAACAACCGAGCCACTTGAGGATGGCATCCGAGGCCGTGAACTCGCCGGCGTTGGATATCACAATGACCTAGGAGTAGAGTACACTGGAGCCTTTAAAAAAGGGTACAAAGTCCGAGTCCTGGAAGGGATCGAAGATGGGTTCGCCGGGCTCTGGAATGCGAAGATTTCACGGTGTTGACTGATTCAGATCATAATGCAAGCTATCCACGAACATAGTGAATCCCAAGGTTTCGATGTTCCATCCAGGCACCATCCAGACCCCATGCAGCGTGGCCTAACAGATGTAAAATCCTAGAACCAGGCAAGCAGCCATAGGCGCGCAGTCGGACTCGCCAGCGGGCATGTATGCACCCTTCACGGCCTTCTGAAGATCCTCTGCGTCAATGAACGGCAAGGCTTTTTGAGGATTTGCAAAGGCTTCATTGCTTCTACGCCGAAGACGATACCACTAGGTGCAACAGCCATTGGAAAATCCCATCAGTCGGGAGTCGGGCGGGTGGTCAACGAGGCCTTGGGAGGGAAAGGCTCAAGAAGCGGAAGATGGGACGTACAAACATCGCATTGAGGTTCGAGTCCAACAGAAACCGGCAAGTAAGCCACCGGAGTTGCGCGGACTTTGGACGGGAGCGGAAGTTTGCAACGCACGACCCGATGTTGTAGCAGCCGGAATCATGAGCATGCTCCGTACAAGTACTGACAGCTCCTTCACAGGCAGGGGCCTTCTGGATGGAGTGTGATCACGAACTCTGTGGAAAAGGAACACGGAAGACGCGCTTCATTGCTTTACCCTAACTCGTCCGAGGAAAGAGAACGACCATCCCACAGTAGCATGAAAGCCACAGTTTCTTGCAGTGGCACTGACATTAGGATGGTCATTCTAGTTCCCTGATTGTACATGGAAGGTTTTTTTTTTAATCAGGGTTCTGCATTACGCTACCAATGAATGGCAGACTTTGCCTCCGAGGCTCCAAATCCCTGAACCGGGCTTTATGGGGGCGTAGGCATGACTCTGAAGCTCCAGTCCGAAACAGCACATGCTCATATTAATATCGGGGCCTTAGTAATTAGAATAGGGTTTGGGGCCCCTTTATAGTAGAATGATAATCAGGAACCCTAAGCAAGACTATTGGTTTGTTCAATCTGACAGCTCTCCGTTGAGTCTGCCCTTGTCCCATCTTGTCCCTGTCCTGAGCTATGCTCTTCGCCTCTGCTGGGGCAGTCTTCATGTGCAGGTGCTGCACGCCTCGGAAAGCATCTTCCCAAATCTCTGTCCCGGCATTCAAGAGGCATCCAGCCTTCTTCGCAGAAAGCTTCGTTGTCACCGGCAAACCATCCGCCTTGCTTCTCCTGGGCTTGAGCGGCGGTGCTGATGGATTGATCCATGCTTTAAGATGCTGCTTTGTGGACGTGTTCACGGTTCCTGAAGGAAACTCGTGCCTGAAAGGACAGAAGAAAATCATCAAGATCATGGAAGCCATGACACTGCAAGCTCGGTGGCTGACATGGGCTCAAAGAGATGCAACCTGGGGTCGTTTGGTCTCAGGGCTTTCTGTGCGGTTTTGGTTGTGGAGATGCCAAGCAGTTCCAACTTCTCAAATCCCCGGCGCCCACCTGCAGTCCGAGTCCGTGGACTTGTCGAGGCCAGCCGCAGCTGCTTTGCGCTTTCCCGGCACCTGCACACCAGTGCAGCTTGTGCACGTGTCGAGATCGAAGTTCCCTCCAACAGGGTCCTCCGCTCCTCCTTGGGGCCGGGCGGCCGGGGGGCGGCCGCCAGGCCCTTTGGCCGCGCCTTCAACAAGTCTTTCACGCTGGCTTTAGCCACGTCGATGGGCTTCTGGCCATCGTTGGTCTGGAGGGCGACATCGGCCTTTTGGGATGTCAACGCGGGCTGTCAGGGGCTTGTATTTGGAGCGGGGCTTGATCCCGGCATCCTGAATCCTCAAACCGATCCTTCTTTCGCAATTGGAGGACTCTTGCGAGAAAAGCCTCTTGTAGCTCTTTTTCAAAGTGAAAGAACTAGGCTTCAAATAGCCTGGGGCTCGCTGCGTTTTGGTTTATGTGGACAATGCCAGCAAAGACCCTGCAAAGGCCGCCGCATCCCCGAGCTCTTATGCGTCGAGACGCCTTGTGCTCCAACAAGAACTTCACGACCTTCTTGTCTCCCGCCTCAAAGGTGCGGAGAGGCAGTCTCGCTTTTGCAGGTCTGGCCCAATCGGATTCCGAGCCTCCAAATGCTTCTGAGCGTTCGGATGTCAGGGCCTCTTGATAACTTGTCTCCATAGGCTTACCTCGCAACCTTTCAACGAGCGCTGTCAGCAACCCTACTGCCTCCACCCCATACCACGACAAAAACCGGATCTGCAAGCGTTGTCGGGTTCGGAGCCACGCCTCGGCCGCCTGATGCAGCGCCGTCCAGCGGCCGGCCGGCTGGGCGTTGACCTGCGTCCGCTTCCAGCGTCCCGTGGCTTCACAGCCTGAGCCCTTCTTTGTGATCCTAAAGCTGCTTTGCTCTTCAAAAGGGCCGAAAGGTGCGGTGCAGAGTGCAGGGCTTTGCTGAGTCAAGTGACGTAGCCGGCATTCTCCTTCACCAACTTCATGACTTTGTCGAACTCCTTGTTCTTGGCGTGGTCCAAGAACCTTAACCCAGGCCAGACCCTGGCGCTGTTTCGGCAACCTCCATCTCCAAAGCCCCGGCTAGCTCGGACGACCCTTCCAAAAGAAACCGCGGGGCAAATGCTGGCTTTTCACCGCTGGCACGGCCTTGGCCTTTGGGCTGCGCCCCTTGGCCTTGACATTTGGGGTCCAGGGTTCAGAGTGGCAAATAACACTTCGGAACGGTGTTGCATAATGCGTAATCCGGAAACAGGAGCCATGGAAAGAAGGGCCCAGGGCCAGGGCCAGCAGGGGGGGGGCCCAGGAACCCAGGACCTTTTAACCTCCCCTTGGGCGCAGGAGGGAAGCCTGGCCTTGGCCTTGGCCTTGGCTTTCGGCTTGGCCTTCAGTAAGGCCTTCGAGAAATCCTCTGCGGGGAAGCTTGTTGCGCTCCCGGGGGTGCGGATTTGGGGCACAGGACGGGTCGAGGGACACTCAGGACCAAGGCTGGGGATTGGTTTCTGGAAGGCCTTGCACATGTACATTCTCCGTCTCTGATGCTTTCGGGCATGACAGTAGACACTACGCGATCCTGGGGGTCTCGCGGAGCTGCGGCCCTCCGGGACTAGGCTGTCGACACCCGCGACGCTTAGGTACGATAGGGATGCGACGCTGTCAGGATGCGCTAGAAACCATCGCCCCGAAGCCTCCTACTGCTGAAATGGTTTTCACAGTGCGTGCTTTTGTGGCACGATCTCGCTTTCAAGCTTCGAGTCCTTCTCGCTCCAGATCTCCGTGCCGAAGGCCTTCGCAGTCAGCACTTTGGCTGTGCTTGCCGCGTCGCTCTCTGCGACCTCGGACAAGGTCGCAACCCCCAACAAACGAACAAACCCCCTAACACGGACTCCTCAAAAGAGACGAAAAGGGATGGCGGCGGCTAGGCCCAAAGGAAGAATCTCGATTCTGGCTCTTCTTCTCTAGCCGTCACGAGGCCAAGTTGGAGCAGAAGAATTGCCCGCCTATCGCCGCTCAGGCGCGATGATGTCTGTGCTTTTCGAAATGCTGCCGGTGACCAGGGCGCCTGCAACCGCTCGGGGCTCGGGGGGCTCGGGCCCAGCACTCTGATCGTCGAATCAGAATCAAAGTCGGGACAAAACCCTCGGTCTGCAAAAAGCTGTTTGTGGTTCCAGGGCTCTTCTGCCTTCGTCGGCTCTAGAAACCGGGTATGGGAAAGCCTTCTGCGGTGATTCTCGGCTAAGGCCGCTGGCGTCAATCCGCCCCCATTGAACACCGTTTTTTAGGACCCCAAGGACCCCAACAAAAACCTCGTGACACCGATAATCTCTGAGCTCACTAGCTGTCACTGGCTCCCCCCCTCGGGGCCCTGAGGCGGCGAACTCCTTCACCACAGAACTTGCGGCGTGGAAGCCCGACGCTGGAACAGGCCTGCTTCAGAAGCCAACTTGGTGGCCTCTTTGCGCGTCATGGACAAGGTGCCAGTGAAGACGATGCGCTTGCCGTGCAGCGACATGGCGAGCTGACGGCGTGTTGCGACTCTGACGGTGGGTGTAAAAGGGCTTTGTTTCTGGCTTCAGGCTCTTCGGGGGGTCTTGGCCATGCACTTCGGCATCCCCACTTTTGGCTTGGGCCGAGTCGCCGGATTTGCAACCCCGGGTTTCGGGTTCAGGGAGCTCTTTCATTGAGGTTGGACCTCGAAAATGACTCTCTCGGCTGTGGTATGTCGCTTGAGCTGTGCATCTCGCTTTAGTGTAGCGGCGGATCCAAACATTTTGCGCCAGAGGGCTAACCGTCGTGTCACTGGAAAAGCTGCTAGAGCAGACGACCGGCTACACATTGCAAATGCAGAATCCTGAGGGTTCCGAGTCTCCCGACGAACCCTCAGGCAGCAAGACTCCTGGTCCTGCAAGCTTCAACAGAGCAAAATTCCACCGATCACTTTCCCAACTCAGTCACTCTTTCACGGCTCCATCTCCTGAAGCGGGCCATGCTCAGAGCACTCTCCCTCCCTGTTTCGGGTCCCGCCTGGCACTGCTCCATGGACCGACCCAAGGTCGTGAAGTCATCGCGGGGGCAATGGTGATGTCCGTGGTTCCCGTCGCTTTGGAAGACCATCAAAGTCTTGCCGCTCCCGGCGTGTGCCACGGAAAAGTGCTTGCCATCCACGTCCCCGAGCCGGAAGTTCCCGATCTGCACGAAGCGGTCGCCAAAGCTCACCCCCATGGGCGACATGTCGGGATTCCGGGACGGCCACGTCTTCCCCCACATGCCCCAGTCCCAGCGAGTCTGTGGATGCACGGGAATTGCATCATGGGCACTATTGGATCGATAGATGACTAAGGTCTTTCCATTCGAATGCGAGATGCTGAAGTGCTTCCCATCCACATCACCCAAGCGGAACTTGCCAATCTGGACGACGCGATCTCCGAATTGCACCCTCCTCGGCAGGCCAGTTTCATGTTCGACCATGCCATGCTGCAGGTGAACCCTAAACTGGGGCCCAGAGTTCATCCAGCTCTTCACGGTTTCGCCTAAAGCCCGGCTGATCAGCTTGGGAGTCAAATTCCCGTCCGGTGCCAAGGGCTGACGGCTCCAAACGCCGTGAGGAGCCGCCTTGACAAGGCTCGAACAGCACCCGCTTCCGGGGCTTCCGCTCTTTGGGCTAGGCATGAGACTTGTCATTATTTGGCAAAGCACGTCTCAACTAGTGGGGCCCGACATGACAGAATGAGAATGATCTTTTATCCATCTTTCTTCCAGGATTGCTTCGTGGCCTGGCTTCGTCCCCCGTTTCGGGTTGCATTGGGGTTCCGCACAATGCAATGACTGGACGCACTCTTCCTATCGCTGAACTCCACTGCAGCTTGCGGACTAGATGATTGGATGGCTTATAAGCCTCCCCAAAGGGAGCCCAAACCAAGAACCTCCTAGACCAAGGCTTGCCTTCGAAGGCCTTTGCAAAATCCGAAAGACATTGACACCACCCACAAAAACCTGAAAAACCTGAAGTCTAAGCGCCTTCGTCTGCTTTCCCGCCCCAGCCTTGCAGACGGGTGCGCCAGACAAAACGCCATGAGAAGCTATTCTCGCTGCAGAGCCTGGGTTTGGAGGGCCAGGGTAAGGCTTTCGGTGGAGGGCTCTCAGTTTTTGAAACCTTAGCTCACTGACCAGACTGGGGTATACTCTGCTACAGGTGTCTAATGACAACAAAGGGGACACCGTTACCAGGTTCGGGCTGAACTGCCCGTCACAAAGCAACCCGAAAAGAGCCCTTATAGTGCCCTGCCCTGCCCTAGATACTGTCAGCTCTTATAGTAAGTAACACCTATAAAGCCCTTCTTGTCGCCCTTGTATTATCCTTATCCACCAATTGAAGAAGCTGCTCATGCCAGGGGCATAGTGTAGCAGCAGCAGTAGGAGTAGGAGTAGTAGGAGTAGCAGGAGTAGTAGGAGTAATAGTAGTGGTAGTAGTAGTAGTAGTAGTAGTAGTAGTAGCAGCAGCAGCAGCTGGTGGTAGCAGTGGTAGTGGTGGTTTTGGTGATGGTAACAGTAGTAGCAGGACGGAAGAACACGTGGTAGAAGCGGTGGAAGTGTCCGTGCCGGTGCTGCTGGCAGCAGCAGCAGCTGTACTACCAGTAAGTAGGCTCTACGGCTGTCGATTCTCCTCCGCTCCTCCCTGGTTGTCTAGATTCGCGAAGCAGCTTGCCGAGATATGGCAGCCATGATCCCTCAGCTCGCACAAAACTCTGCACCCTAAACCCCGACTGCATGGACTCGGAACCTCTAGTAAGGAACCCACGGATTTCGCAAACGATGTGCCAAATGCAAATGGGAAGATCGTAATACAAGGAGCACAGGAGACTCGTTTGCAGCATGCCACAGCGACCCCGACATCACGAAAAGGATAAGCGGTAAGTACATACAGCTTGGTAGTCGTTCAGGTGAACTGTTTCCAATGAATGTGCAAAAGCTGCTGGGGCCCTGGGTTTTGTTCAGCGCATGACACAGCCGGGTTGTCATGTCGCACTAAGATGCTCCACTTCATCATTGTCGGTAGCATCGTGGCTTCCTGCGTGTTCGTGAGTTTGCGATGCACACGATTTGGACGAGTATCTTGTGATTGTTACTGAGGTGCCCTCCCTGCAAACGTGCTCTTCACGTGAGTCGTCTGTGCTACGTTCTCTACTCAAAGCGAATGTTGCGAAGATTGCCTAAGCCTTCGTATAAGCCCTGAAGCCCTAGGCAGAAGCTCGACAGTTGAGCCCATCTTCGTCTGGGAGTCGGCCAGTAGTTGAAATGAGCGCAGCCGTTCACCGAGGCACATCCTTGGGATCACGGTGGTGCTTGAGGTTCACAGTTGGTGAGCTCGGGATTGGGGTCTGCTCTTAGAGGCTTGATGATCCTCGATCTTTGATGAGTATGGTCTGCCATGAACGAGGCCAGTGTAGGGGTTTCGCTGCACGGGTGTCGTCAAAGAACGCTTCAGATGTCTGCGGTGACACTACAGCTCCTTCTTGGAGATACGGTCTCCCTGCGAGAAAACCGGTCATCAAGCAAAACTGAGGTCAACCCTACATCAGCCGCAGAACTGTCTTCACATCCGAGCTCGTCAGAGGCGTGTGACTTCGGCAGCTTTTTCTTGAAAGCCGAAAAGGACTTGTGTTTGATACCAGAAGATCAAAGGCCGTCTTGCAACCTACACTTCTGGTCATTGAGCCACGGCTCTGCTCTGACAGGCCTTCCAATCACTGGCACGCGTGCGACCTGTGCAGAGAGATGCTTTAGGGCTGAGAACCACAATGACTTCTGCTAGGAAGCCATGTACCCTGAAAGATGAAAGCTTAAGAGGGTACCTATCTGGTTTCGGGGGTGAGACTGGGCCGCGGGAGGGAGGATTTTAGGATTCACGAGTCTTCGTGCTTGAAACTTGGACCATTATCATCTGCAAACTCCGAAATATCTCAGGATTTGAACCATTAGTCACAGCTGCACTCATCACAACTTGACTGGAACATCTAATCTTGAAGCAGCACCCTGTGTAAAGTCTCACAGGAGGCTCTGCAGTCACAAGCACGATCGGTTACACCAAGGCACTTACATCTGTTTCTGACGCCTTTGGCCTCCAAAGACCCTCCCGAGCCATTGCCGACCGTTTGGAACTTCGCAGCGGCCTTGGCCCGGCATGTCCACCGGCGTGTACTGCGTGTGGGGAACGGCACAGCCCTGGAGAGAAGGGAAAACGTCTCAAGCTACAGCTGAAAGTGAAGCAGCTCCAAACGTGGAAGGAGCTCCAGGAGCTCCTGGCCTCTGGACATAAGGGTGGGCCTGCCGTGACGCCGTGAGCAGCCACTTTGGTCGCTGCGCCTAAGCCAAGCTCAGGCTCCGGAACTGAAACCCTCGGAGAGTCTCACGTATAGCTGGGATGCGTGCCCCGTTGGTGGCTTATCTTGTTGTAGCTGCTGATGTATGGCATCGGACAGTACTCAATGAAGGATGATGGTGTGAGTGTGTGTGTCCGTGTGTGTGTGTGTGTTGTCGATTGCCTCTCCTCGACTGCTTAATATCAACAACCTCGGGCTCGTAAAGTGTCTAGTCTTCATAGCCGCTACCAACACAAGAGGCCTCGGCAGATTCTAAAGCTGCACAGGCCATTGGGTGTGAAGGACATGCTAGAAAAAACCACAGCTAAATAAAACGAGGCTCTTCGGAAGACAACAGGCAATAGACAAAGAGAGACAGGGAGAGAGAGAGAGAGAGAGAGAGAGAGAGAATGAGAGAGCTGGAAATCTTTATCTGTATCTATAACTACAATATCTATACATTTCTATATCCATATACGTATATTATGTGTATACATGTATGCCAAATGCAAAACGCGGAGTCAGGCACGAAATACTAAAGAGACTCAAAGGTGCAAGAGCATTTCGTCCCGCAGGGACATCAGACGTGCAGGCTTCCGAACTCGCCCTGAAGTAAGCCAGGCAGCCATGTTGTATATGGCAGCCACCATCCCTGGGCTGAACAGATTCGCTCTGAATTAAACTTCGTTTGGGGCATCCCACTTGTAGTTGCTGTCTCGCAGCAGTCTGCTACAATCCGGGAAAGAACCATTTCTGAAATCATCTGTTAATGCTTTTTTTGCCTTCCCTCCGAGAGTCGGCCAGCGGCTGAAATGAGCACAGCCGGCCACCTGCGCACATCCTTGGATTCACCATGGAATGTCACCGTCACAAGCACAAAAGGTTTCATGCTGTTGTCATCCACTTTGACGGTGCAGGAGAAGAGTTCGTCAAAAAAAAGATCGACCTAGCAAGCAGGAGGGATCTGGGGCAAAGCGAGTGTGAGTGTGCAGCTGCCCGCACGCAGGCTGCTCAGCCGACTTCCCATAAACGGAAGAAGTTGTGAACGGATCGCACACGACGACGTAACCTCGAGTCGAAAGTCCTGAGTTGGTACCCTGATCCTGATAGATTCTGCAGAATCTGGAGTCACCCAGTGACTTGAGCGCAGTTTGTAGCTTTCGTGTCCTTCTCAAAATTGCATACAATGCCCACGGAACCTGTGAGTGTGGAAGTGGGGAACGGGGCGACGGCGGATTGAAATTTGAGCCACGGCTCTTGTCTGGCATTCTTGCCAGCTGTGCGCATGCGACCGACCTCTGCAGCTTCTCGGGCAGGTGCGGAGCTCAGAACCGTAAGTTGATGGCTGGTATGAAATTGGGGCCGAGGTTTCGCAAGATACGGAACCTTGAGAAGGCAGAAGGTTCATGCCTGCCTAAGAAGATTCGTCTGGTGCATCCGTGATGATAGTGTCAGGAACTGTGCGGAGCCTCACTTGCCGCAGCCCTAAGTCTGATCCTGCAACGCAACCTTCCAAATGCTGCACACTTGTATTGTCACTATAAACAGGACCGAAGCCAACATAGCCTGGAATTCGAAATCTTGGGCTTCGCGCCGTGGCCAGGAATGTCTACGGGCGAATAGTACGAGTTGGCCTCGAAGCAGTCCACCTGCATCTCCGGTAAGATTAGAGTTAGGCTGTAGGAATGCCTTGAAGAAGTGGTTCTGCGCCCGCCAGGCCCTTTGCAACAGATAAAGGCGGAGGTGAGCTTCCCCAATGGTCTTCGAAGTGAAGGAACAGACACGGCCTGGGAAGCCCCGTATGCCTCGAGCTTTGGACAGATTTTCCTCTACTTCGGACATCCTGTTACACGTGACACGGGCCAGGCTTTTTGGGTGCGCTGCAGAATTGAAATTTTTTGTGCATGCAGGCTGCGACTGCTGACAGGAGTTCGAAAGTCCATCTCCGGCTGAGACGGTCGCTTTGTCGCTCCACCGATTGCCCTTTCTTTTTTGCATTGTGCCAGCGAGGGCTGCTTTGGTGAGTTCTCGCGCGCTGCTCTTCGTCGAACGCGCGGCGTGCTCCGCGCTGGCATCTCGCGCGCCCGGGCTCTTTCAAGCGCAAGAGCTCAAGAGTCTCAGTCTGAGGGACACATCAGGCTGCTCTTCAAAGGCGTGAGGCTCTGCAACCGAGACACCATGAGCGACTCGTTGGATTGGAGCAGGCTGGCCGAGGCACTCGCAGCAGATTCCTGCAGCATTCGCAGGGGCAGGGTGGTGAATAGACCTCTGACGCTGAAAGGCTCCATGCTCGGTCTGGTCTCTTGGAACCGCACCGTAAGAGACTCGTTGGTTTGAAGCAGGCTCGCTGCCGAAAACGTCTTGGCCTGCCGGAAGCTTGAAGCGCAGGGTTCAAGGCTTGTCAAGTTTCAAGCGGCTCAGGCGTGCATTCGCTTCAGGCTTCGAAAACTTAACAGACGTTCAGACGGTTGGGGAGGATCATGCATCTACAGGCGTTAGAGCTGGCACGGCAGATGCCAGGAGACCAACATCGATCCGAAACAAACTCTTGCATCAAGGCTTGGGGCTTCTCGGCTTCTACTAGTCAGACTCCATGCCAAGAGGGCAACTTTGGCCGCTGGAACGGACACCAGGTTATGCAGAAGCTGTGCAATCGCACTTCTACCGGTTCAAAACATCAAGCACGAAGATTTCCACGAGTAGCATACAAGAATCCCGAGGTTGACGGACACTTTGAGCTAACCCTGTAGGCATGCATGATGCTCTGCGCAAGCGTTGCGATGTCTACAGAACCAAGGAAACAGTGGGTCGGCGAGAGGAGGCTGGATTCGGCGTCGTCGAATTACTACTTCATCACGAGATCTTCTCTGCACTTCGGGTTGCAATCACAAGGGTCTGCAAGACCATGGCCAGTCGGCAAGCCATTTACGTCTCTCAAACTCAACCCGCCATGCAGAAGACTCTCGACACAAGGCCGAAAACCGTTGTTTCTCCGAACTGCGCCTGTCCGTCGATGTGCGACACGGAGAACGTATCACCCTCTGCAGCAAGCCGCCAGTCTCCGATCTGCATAAAGTCTTCACCTGGAACTTATGGTTCCCAAAAGAGTCTCTTGGATTCCAGTCTGCCCAAACAGTCCTGTGCAAGAACTGTTGTACATTTGGTCTCGGACGGATATGATGCACAAGTCGGTTTGGGCTTTCCTTCGAAGCTCCTGGAGCCTTGGGTGTAGCAAAGACACAGCACGCAAAGCACGGCACGACGGGAGACGTGAAGGCACAGCACTGGCAAAGAGAAAGAGGTGAGGGATGCAGCCATCCTATCAATGCAACGCACCTCACACCACCTGAAGAGAGAGAGAGAGAGAGAGAGAGATAGAGAGAGAGAGAGACGGGCGACTCGTTTGCTTTTTCGGATAAAGAGACAGGGAGTGGGAGAGATAGAGAGGGTGAGATAGTCATTGAAGCAGCTGGTCCCGGCCTGTGACGATTCCGGTGCAGGAGCCCATGGCTTCCTGCAAGTTGCCACAGTGCCAGTGCGTAGGGCGGTTGTTGACGGCGGGCCCGTACCTTTTCGCTGCGGGCTTTAGGTCCAGGGTTGAGGGTTTCTAAGGATTCCAACCATAACTGTCCATCTATTTGACTCTTTAGGTCGCTGTAGTGAAAGAAGCCGATATTTATGTGCCTGCGTGCTTGTCACAGTAGCAAGCTTCTCACCTATCAGTGACGGGAACTTCAGTCAACTTCAGGGTGTAGAAGCCAATCATCATGAATCTTGGGCGGTTCTGGCGTTTGAACTTCCGATTCATGCGGCCATGCCAAGACAGTGCAGTTCTAGCACATTTTGCAGGCTTTCGCCTGCGCCTCTGGTGCAGCATAGGGAGTGACTTGTGTCAGGAATCCAATTTGCACTTAGACTTCTTTCAACCAGGTTGCAGCGTACCTTCAAGCCATCCGGACTACGTTCATTCGTTGTTTGCACCGTGCTGAATGTGCCGCTCTGGGAAAAACTGCCATTTTGCGCCCGGGCCATTTGTTAAAGACGGTCAGGATGTAGGCATCCGCGCAGTACGTACGTGCGTGAAAACAACTCAGATGCGTCAAGAAACGAAATCTACGATATGGTATGTGAACTGGTGCAGTCAACAGAAATTCAGTCAAAGTGTGGGGTGTGTTTTGTCTGTGTGTGTGTGTGGGGAGTTGTTCTGGAGTTGCAGCTGCGATTCTGCTTTCAACCTCCACTACGCATCCTCGCCCGGAGATCTGTGTAAGGCCCAAATCAGTGCGACTGCGGGCGCCCACTTTCACTCACGGCGGAGCAGCACGCACAACATGTCCTTTGGAACAATCGCCTCAAGCTCAAACTGCGACCAAACTTCGAAAACAAACAGCAAGACCTCACGCCTGTATGCAGCATGCTCGCTGTTTTCAGCGGCCCTGTTACAGCAACCCAACACAGCAAAATTCGTGCTAGCTCGTGGTCTTCACACTTTTCGCCTCCAAACATGGGGACAACATTCATGCTGCAATTCATGAACTTCAGCGAACATTTCTGGCTTAACGGCAAAAAATGCCCACTGCTGGCTGTACAATGGCGGTTGCTGCTGTGAATGGGACTCTGTGATGTTTCCAAAACAGAAAAGCTAGAATCACTGTAAACCGCGAGCCTTCCTGTTGGGGTTATGGAAGTACAAAGTCTCGAACAGAATCATCTAGAGCTCTATAGTCTATAGCACTACTACAGTAGGATGGCTACTGGGGAGTCCTAGTGCACGTTGTGTGAAGCTTACATGCCAAAATGCTGATATGAACAGTGCGAGGTACGATCCGTGGTGGTCTGTGTCAGCCCAGCCATCTTTGTGGAAACGGTAGATGGAGTTTCCCCAGGGGGCGAAGGTAACGGCGAGATTGGTTCCATCAGAGTCGCCGATGCGGAAATCGCCAATCTGAATGAATTTATCGCCGAAGTTGACCCCTGAGGCAGGTCCGATATTCCTTCCCCAAGCACTGTAGGTTGTCAGTCCACCGGTGAACCCCCAGTGCAGATGAGGATGATGGTTGAGCTTGAAGAGCTTTGCTGTCTTTCCGCGTCTGTGAGAGATGCTAAGATGCTGGCCGTCGATCGCTGCCACGCGCCAGTTCCCAAACTGGATGAACTGATGGCCGAAGACGATGCCAGAGGGAAAGCCAAGGGGCCTGTGCCAGGTGCCGAAACTGCTGCTCGGATGGTGGCGATGCTGACCTCCGTCCGACGTCAAGATCTCGGCAGTCCTTCCATCCTTGTGAGAGAACGTGAAGTGATGGTCGTCGTAGGCCCCCATGCGCCAGTCGCCAAGCTGGATGAATCGATCTCCCCAAGCTGCAAATTGGGGATCACAAGGTCCGAAAGAGGTTTCCTCAGCCGCAGGATAAAGGATCCCGCGAAGAAAAAGCCGAAGTTGAGGCCCTATCTGTTGGAGGCACCGAAAAGACTCACTCTGTCTTGGACTCGCGGGACCGGACTGACAAAACGGGGTGAAATCTGGATTCCACGCTCTGGAAAAGCTTGCGGAGTTGCAGCGGTGTTTCTTGTGCCAGCTGCCAGCTTAGCTTCTCCAACACCCAAGACCCAAGACGCGGAAAGGACTCCTCCTTTCCGAGAGAGAACCCCGGTCGGCTCTTAAGACAAGATGTCTGCAGGGTGGTCATGTTGAGGGGGTGAACTTCAGGATCTCGTCTTACAAAGACAAGAAGCAAGACATACAGGGCACGAACTAGAAAAAGAGAGGGAGAGAGAGAGATAGGGAGAGAGAGAACAACAACAAAAAGACAAACAAACAAAGAGAAAGACAACAACCGTACAGAGAGAGAGAGAGAGAGAGAGAGAGAGAGACAGAGAGAGAGAGAGAGAGAGAAAGCGAGAGAGGGAGAGAGAACGGCGTGCTGACGAAACTGACTACAGCCATCCGACACAAACGGTTTTCTTGTAAAGAACCGTCGAAACCGTCCCAGGCTCTCCGATGCCTCTAACAGTGTAGTCTGCGGGAGGCCGATTCAAGAACGTGGTGTAGTGGTGCCACTGGTTCCCCTTCGTCTTTCCGTCATGGCCATCAAAGACCTGGATACTCGTCTTCTTCTTGACCTCGGGCTCTGCCCAGTCACCGCAACCAAACCGGATCTAGAAAGGGCCCTGTTCCCACACTTCTGATCCTTTGCTATACAAGTATCATCACTGCTATGTAACTATGATCTTTATGACAAGGCACCCTGATTACATACACGTAGTCCTGATTATCAGGATCCCTGGTGTTAAGCTACCGCGATATATAGACTTCAAAATTGTGCCGAGAGGCACTCGAGATTACAAAGCGCATGTTATCCTCGTCGCCAATCCGAAAGTTCCCCAACTGGAGGAATCTGCAACGGGGGGGGGCCTAGGGTTTTGTGCGTCCCGGGTGTAGGGGTTGAGAGTCCAGAGTTTAGGACCGGGTTATGAGAGCTGCAGCAGTACGAAGGAACCATGTCCCTGCTGTGCAAGTTACCACTGACGACACTCATCGTCAAAACAAGAGCAAGAATGGCCATGCAGCAATACTACAAGACTGATGCCAAGACTTAGACGACGCAAAGGTTATCGATTCGCTTGTCGGCGAATTGAGATCTCTGCAGGCATGGCAGAGGCTCTTCTAAGATCCCTTTATTTCGTCAAGAGCCTGTCGCCAAAGCTGATGCCCAAAGGTTTCCCAACGGGACGATCCCAGGTCCCGTAGTCCTGGGCTTCAAGGAAGATGAATCTTTGGGTTGAAATTCATCACCTGCCCATGGACATGTCTGTTTGTACCACGTTTGAAATGATGGGGCATTGCCAAACCTCTCCGTAGTGGGGCCGGGAGGCAGTTCGTCTGTTGCCGTCTATGTAACCATCATCTTTGAAGATCTCGAGGGTGTTGCCATTCATGTGCCTTGGCACTTCGCCGGGGCTAGGCACGGGAGGCATGCGCATACGTGCACGTGTCGGCTGCGGGCGGTAATGAGAGAAATCTGGCCTCGGGCAGTCAAGGACCTGCTGATCTGATCCAGAGTACAGACTCTACACATAAACTACAACCTTGTATAGTAGTAGTCGCAATGATAGCCATAATCGCAACAGCAATCGTTACTGTGGCAATGCTAATGATCATCATAACCTCAAGAGTCATCATCATAAAGCTATGCAGCGTCCAGTCTGGAGTCTGAAGGTCTAGTTAGACCTTGGCTAGGGGAAAATCTACGAATACGGTCGTGAGCACAAGGGCTCACAAGGAGAGTTGTCCCTCTGGGCCCGAGTCATTGTAATATGCGGGCCTTATTTATTAAGATCGGGTCTGGTGGAATGAACCTTGTATTGAGAAACCCAAAGGAATATGTGTCTTCTCAATTATCCACCGAAGTCTTGTCTTGGCCCTTCGGAGCATCAGGGAGCAAAGCCTTCTGCCACGGAGGAGTTCTGGCTTGTGTAATGCAGTCAGTAGCAATACCCCAAGCCCTGTTCTGATTCTTTAAAGCCCCTGGTTTTAGATAGGGCCGCGGCACGACAGTGACAAGTGTTCATCGTCTGCAGCACCAAGTCGGAAGTGCCCAATCTGTATGAACTCGAAGCCGAACTTGATCGCACTAACGTGGGCGTTGGGCGTCCGTGGCCTGAGGTCTGTGCCATATGATATATATACGGATTCTTTCTGACTACAGGTATAGCGACACTACTACCATCCAACATGTACACTCGCGAATACTCTAAACAGGGCCCTATATTCACTCACCAGAAACGTAATTCAAACCCTACTTCATACTGTCATGTGGATTGAGGTCCAAGGGTCCACGCAACGCATCTCACAAACAAAACTACTGCAACCGAAGGGACTTGTGCCAGGCCCCCCAATCGGCTCTGGGGCCGTAGTAGTTGGTGCCGTCGGCATGCCAGATTTGAATGGTCCGGCAGTTGTGATTCTGGCAGCAAGGCTCAGGGCTCTACTTCAGCACATGGAGGCTTGATGATAAATGGGAGTTTCCGAAAATCAAGGACCCTAGTAGAGCACAGTACCCTAAATAGTGGGATCCTTTTTGCAAGGACTGCAAAATAAAGTACCCGTGTCGCCGGAAACTCCCAAATGGATCTTGGGGTATATCGTGGTCCTTGCTATGTTAAGTCAAACAGGCTTCCCCACTATAATGTGCCTGAGCTAGGCTCTGAGTGCAAAGCGGTCGGCCGGGTCCGCGTGGGTTGGAAGCACCCTTCCCATTTTTGCCAGCATTTCGGCTTTCTAAACTGGCTCCTACAGTCTAAACCATGGCGAACACGTTTCGGCCGCGGTGGGGGCACGAGAAGGGGTGCTTGAGAGTCTTAGTCTCAGGGCCTTGGGCTTTGCGGCTGGCTGATACTCGGGCGGCTGGGCCGTCGGACGGATTGGAGCCCCCGGCAAAAGCCTTGAGCTTCTCTCCCAATCCGGCCTCTGTTCTCTGTGGGCCTGCGATGCCGTTGAAGCCAGAAGTGTACTGCTTCGCCGCACCTAAATCGCGAAGCTCAGATGTCGAAACCTACATTCTGTTGTGTCTTCTGCGCGGTTTGTGGCTTCTGATGATGAACAACTGCTTCTTCATATCTCCTGCCCTCTATTTTCGTTGTTCTCGTTTACTTGAAGCTTAACAGCTTAGCAAGTCGTTTGACAATGGGATCACGCAAAGGGATGATAGGACATACTGCACAGTGAACGCCTGAACGCCACCACGGTAGCATGCAAGATTCACAGCAGTAGGCAAATTCGTGCTGAGATGGGATCCGGTGGACTGCGAGAGAATAGGACAGAGCACGATAGGGTGTGGCTCAATCGAGGGGCGTACTCGCTAATAGCAAAAGCACAGATGTGCTGCTACGACACATCACATGAACCGAAACATATGAGAAGACAAAGCCCTCGCATGCAATCTGCTCAAAAATATCATCACACTGACCAGGTCACTGGTGTGGAGGCGGCAGCTACCACTCCTGGGACCAAGTGCATGGGTGCTGAAAGCTTCGTCATGTAACATAATGTTTCGCGAGGTAATTCGGCTTGTGGTTGTGCGCCCCTCTCGCAAGTGGCCAGCGGCCAGGTTGAAACACTGCGGGCCAGGCTTGGAATGAACAACAACAGGTGCCTTAGTTATTGCAAGTGGTTAAAGCCACAAGAGGCAGCTCCATGCCAATCAAGTAGCACATGAATGACAACCTTCGCATACTGAGGATGCCTTCGTCGTGTTCATCTCTTGGCTAAAGGCCCGTTGATGCGCGGATGTGCGAGTAACTCCAATTCCCGATCCCAATGCAGCGTGTGTGACTCATGAGCGCGCATGACCTTCCGTTCGACCTGAAAAGTGAACCTCCTCTGTCAGTGCTTGATGCTTCGGCATTGCAAACATTGGACAAAGACAAATGCTGAACCAATGCTTGATGCAAAGAGCTGCTTAGAACCTGCAAAATGCATTTTGCGCTGAGATCGGAATAGGCAATCTTCCTGTGACAGAGCAAAGTGTGTGCGCGCATGCAAGGGAGTCTGCAAGGGCTTCCATCTCAAGCTGTGGGTCGGCTTGGGGCATCATCACTCACTTATAACCCAGTGCTCTCTTGCAGGAGCGAGTTCTTGACAACATCCGTATGACTTCGATTTTCAACAGTCGGAATCAGTTGGTTGATCGGCGGCTTCACTCGCCGTAGTACCTTCTGCACCCTCGCATCTACGAACCGGACAACGCGTGGAAAACACAAGCCTCCAATGCTGGTCCGAGAATCGGATAGAAGGTGAAATGCACACAGTTCCACACATCTGAACATCCTCAGGTGTATGTTGGGAGAGGTCAGAGGCTAGGCTTTGTCGGCTTGTGGGCTTGTTGTTTGCTGCCTGTCCAAATGGTCTTCCATCCATACATGTTCTGGCTCCATCGACGACTATACGATTCCGGGAATGAAGTGTCACGCAGCAAAGCCTTACTCCAGTCCCTAATACGATCAGTGCTTCAAAACTTCCCAAGGCAGTTTATGCTTGGAAGGCTTCCAACCTGGTTCTGCCATGCTGTTGCTTCAGTGCCGGCAGGGTTTCTCAAGTTTCACCCAAGGCCGGCTGCTCACGAGCGGTGTTTGATTCGCTCTTGAGCCGGGGAACAGCGAAGAAAACCGCCTTCCAAGCGCTGTCCCCCAGAACTGCTGCGAAGAAACCACAAGTATGTCAAGAATGGTAGATACAGAAGCCAAGTAAAAACCCAACGCCCAAAAATTCTCTCCCAAGCCTGGCAGGGCTGGTTCGCAAGGATTGCCAAAACGACAGTCCCCCCCCCAAAAAAAAGAAGTTCACTTGGGTCTTTGTTGTCTAATGCCCGACAGGGCCCCAAAACCCTGTGAAATAGTTCGATGGGAAAGCCAGGATCCAAGGCTGGATCCAAGGCCGGTGCAAGAACTGCCAAAGCCGGGGTTTCAGTGGGTTGTTGGTAACTACTGCGCTGAGTCACTTCATTACGAGTCGTGAAATCAATCAGTGCAGTGCCAATGTCATGGCACAAAACCCTCGCGAATCTGACCATAAGAAGCCTGACCGGTATTCACAATTCAGCCTCGTTTCTCTTCTGACATGCCGGCCAATTGATTTCGCGGGTCACACCTCTGCACAGCTTCTCTGGTAGCTCTCGAAGCTCAGCGATGCCGTAGGGGCTTCAGCAGGAGAGTTTAAGGGGATGTTGCTCGGTGCAGACGCCGGCTCAGAGCTTGCTTCGGTGTCGGGTGCAGTCAAACCACCGGAGGCCCTTAGTGTGGCCATGGCCCCTGCAGCGTCAATCCTTTGGAGAAGCCCCTGGCAAGACCTGCTCCGAGGGTCCTTGAACCGAGCGTCCTAGATCCCAAAAGCATCTCAATCCCGCCCCAGCGCCTCGGCGCCGGCCGCTGTTCAAGGTTGGCCAGTAGTAGGTGTGGGCTTTGTTGCCGGTCTGTCAGGAAAGCGGGCGCTGTTAACGCAGCCATTCCACTTGCAAACCTCAGAAACTGAGGCTCGGTCGCAGTGGGAAATCGAGAAGTGGTTCTGGTCCATGGCCGCGAGGCGGAAGTTGCCCAACTCGATGAAGTGATCTCCCAGTCCTCGGGCAAACAATTTGCAAATCTTTGCAAGGAAGGGAAGAACCAACCTCAAAGAAACCACAGCTTTTTCTTAATCTGAGATAACGCTTCATTAAAGTCTTTGGGGCGCCCCCGGCCGAGTGTCCCAGCTCGTGGACCAACTGCCGGGTGTGAAGAAGCTCGTGGCTCGGCTTCTGCTTCTGCGGGAGAATCTGGGCTGCCGGGACGGTTTGTAGGGAGCTGAGGGATGTGGGGTGGGCCCCCCTCTTGGGATTTAGGGCTGGCGGGGGGTTCAGGATTCAGGTTTTGGAGCTGTACTGAACCAGCAAAAGCTGCACTGACCGGAGGCAGAAACTCTCGTGACCTCGGCATCGGATGAAGGCTTTCTGCCAACATGCTTGCACCCAAGCTCTTCCGCGCACGAAGCAGTAGAAAAACCAGGTGTCCTTCTCTTTCACAGACTGAAGCATGTTTCGACAATAGTGCACTACTAGATTCACAATGTTGCGCGGCACCTTGCATGACAATATTTGGAGGGGTGGTTCACGGGTGGCTCATGACTTGGAAACTGCTGTATCTTCCACAAAGCTTGCTTGTTCGCTGGGGATCGTGTATGCTTCCACGCAATAGACTTTATCCACCGCCAGCGCGACGGGCTTGCCGCTGAAGTCGATGTTCCTTGCAGGAAAGCTCAGTCTACCAAGGACCTCAACTGTAAAGCTTGTCTGGGCCTGGAAAGCTTAGCGTCATGCTTTGATGCTCGTTGCCTTTTCGACCTAAGCCGCAGAGTGTGGAATGCCGGCAACCTTATGCTCCAAGAGATACTTTCAACCGTAAGCATGTAGCACTGGGCACGAGCCTTCCAAAATGCCGGACGCAGAAGATCCAAAAATTGAGTAAGAGTGACCCCAAACACGAAGAAGCTTTTATTATCCAAAGCGCTTGTTTCTAGTTACCGGCTCTTCCATAACAGACCCGAAGACGAGGAGACTCAGTGCGGGGCACTTGAACTCAGGCCAGTCTTATGAGGACCGAGCGTCAGGTCTGGGATCATGGAGGTGACCTTCTTGGCGGCTTCTCGCGCCACGTTCTCCATGGTGCTTGTGACCACACCCGACACTTTGTTGAGACCCGGAACGCATGACATGCCAGCCTCCAGAACCTGCAGGGCGCTTTAGGGTTTCTCCGTTCGAAGGGTATGAGAAGGGTGCTATATGGTGTACTTTCATGGTTACTCTCTATCGGACGCTCAAGTTTGTCAGTTCGCTGGCACTAGACACTAGGGACACATGCATTGTCAATTGTTCGCATAGAGGATTCCCCAGCCTTTACCGCTGCCAGCGCGCCGGCCAGGTAGGATTGCAAGATTTCAGCCGCGATGTCTTGGGGGCGGAAATCTGGGCGGCACAGACACGACAAGAAGCAGCGGGAATCTCGTCGCCCGCAATCCCAAAAGCAGCAACACGTAAAGATCAGACGCTCGGGGGTTGGCTTTGCATGAACACCTTCCTATGGATTGTTTCTGCTTCAATTAATTCGAGTCCGAGAGACCGATGTCGAACTCCACAGGAATTCCAAAGGCCGTGATGCCGCTGTCGATATAGATGTTCAGAGCCTGGTCGCGAATGTTAGGGGTGCGGGGGGCGCGGGGGGGTTCCTAACGCCACTCAAAAGCAGTTGCAGCTGTTCAAAAAGGTGGCCACCCCACACACACACACACACACACACACACACACACACACACACACACACACACACACACACACACACACACACACACACACACACACACACACACACACACACACACACACACACACACACACACACACACACACACACACACACACACACACACACACACACACACACACACACACACACACACACACACACACACACACACACACACACACACACACACACACACACACACACACACACACACACACACACACACACACACACACACACACACACACACACACACACACACACACACACACACACACACACACACACACACACACACACACACACACACACACACACACACACACACACACACACACACACACACACACACACACACACACACACACACACACACACACACACACACACACACACACACACACACACACACACACACACACACACACACACACACACACACACACAACGACACACACAACGACACACACAACGACACACACAACGACACACACAACGACACACACACACACAACGACACACACACACACACACACACACACACACACACACACACACACACACACACACACACACACACAACCAAACCACATGACGAAGCGCTGACCTAGCCACCACTGAAGTGGAAAATGCACGGAAGGTTTGTTTGCCCTTACAGACCTCAGAGGGCCTGCGAAGCCTGCCTCCGCCTCCGCCTGTGAAGACGAGCTTAAACCAAGCTCAGGCTTAGACACACCAGGTGGCCTTTCCCCCCCTCCCCCGCCCAAATTGGAATCACCCCTATGCCATGACGAGCGTGAAGCCTCCGAGCTGAAGCCTTTCAAAGCCTTTGTGATAGCCACAGGTCGCAACAACAAGCTAAACACCTCTCTGACGCGCAGCTTCCGACGAACATTGGTGTTGACATATTTACTTCAATGCCGCTTCGAAACAGGAATGCCGAAAGCAAAGCATGATGCAGGGACTTAGACTATGCCTATGAGCTCCGTCATAGTAAGTCATAGTACAATTAACACCAGTCTCGCCTTTCGGCTTCTACATTCCATGAACTGAGGTAGGGGACCGCAGCGGCGCACATCTTCAGCATCTTGGCGGAGCCGGAGCTGATATGTGACGAAACCGCATCCTACAGACACGGAGGGTTGCATAATGCTTTCTAGCATCATGCAATCGTAATAACATTTAGACTATGATGTGACAAGGCTGCTTCGAAAGGAACTTACATGCATTTACATGCCATGTCTGATCGGGTTATGATGTCGTAATATCTAGACTATGATGCGATAAGGCCGCTTCGAAAGGAACTTACATGCCATGTCTGATCGGGTTGGTTTAGGCATATTATGCTGGGCTTTGTGAGCTTCGTCTGCGGCCTGATGTGGCGCGAGGGAAAGGGTTTGTCTGTGGTGGCAGGGCCATGAGCATCGCTTCCTTTCCGTACACATGTTGCAAAATGAACTCCTCTCCAGCTCACGGGTCCTCGGCGGCTTCACTCCCCTCCAGCATGCTGACGCTGCTGATGTTTGTGGGCTCCAAGCCGGGCTCCTCCGGAAGTGTGGGTTTAGGCACTGACTCTGGTCATTCTGGTGGCTCCTCTGCCTATGCCGGTGCCTATAGCGAGTGCCTAAGCACAAAAACATCGCCGCGAGTGTTGGCGGACGATTGTTATCAGCCAATTGCCGGTGCACAAAGGGCGCCCAAAGCGCACAACGCTACCTCCTCGAAACTCCAAAAGCGAAAACCTTCGCGAGCAAACATGCATGCATCGACGAGGCATGTGTATTGGTGCGTCTGTGTTGAAGATGAATGCTCCAAGCCAAGGCTGTCCAACTGATTTATGCGTGAGGTGGATGCGCGGCGTGTGTGCGTGCAACTAGCAGTGAACCATCAGTGACTTCGGTGCATGCTCTACATGTTCTGCTTGAATATTTGCACTTCGATTGTCACGGAGCAGGGGGCAGGAGCATTTATGGTCAGTTTCTTTTACTTCAGTGGCCTGTCTGAGGATCGGAAGCGTGCGAAGGATTTTTCGAAGCCGAGGTGTGGAATCTGATGGGTTGCAGGAGCTGATACCTCTGGCGCACTTTCCAATGCGTGTGACGCCGTACCTCAGCCTCGCAGTGAATGGTTACCGCAACTTGAACTTCTCAATTAGGGGTTGGATTGCACCACGATTAAGTTTGCACTGGAATGCCGCAGGGGCCAAGCCAAAAACCTGACGATGACCTTATCGAGTTGCCCCTCGGCGGCCGCTTAGGATGGTCGGCTTTGCGCAAGCCATCAAGGAATTTATGGTGGCATCGAAGATACAACTCAAATCGGCACTCGAAATGCGAGCACAAACATCACCGGGCGCTAAGGACGGTGGCAGGTGGAAGATATTGAATCGCCACAAACATCATTCCGCTGATGCACTGACTACACGTATGCTTCGCATCGTGACTCTCCGTTGGTAACTGAGACTCGTTCATCAACATGGCGGCTTGCTGACTCCATCTACGGGACCAGTGTGGCGAACCCCTTGGTTAATGTCCGTGTCAGCGATGAACGTGTGGATAGCAAACAAATAGGATCGAGATACGCAGGGTCGGCCGGGGGACACCCTTTCGGACCCTGTTTGGTGGGTCCGAAAGGGTGGTTCCCAGGGTCTCCCGTAGATCTGGCCGGACCCTTTCGGACCCACCCATTCGGACCCTGCTGGTAGTCATTGAGTCTGCGTCGGGCTCGGCTTGAATTTGGGTATGGCTCAACATAGTTTTCATGATATTCAGCATGGTTTCCGCATATATTTTTCCAGCACCCACGCAGAAGTTCACAGAAGTAGCAGGCAGCGGGCCTCGGGACAAGGCGCACACTCAAGCTTCCCAGGCCGTGGTTGTTTGCTCGGGTTCCTACCTAAGTTCGCGGGGCCTGCGCAAAAGCATCCAGAAACTCAAAATCCAGAATCCTTGGAAGAGCCCCTGAACCCATAAACCCCGAAACCCAGAAATTATTAACCCTTATGTCGCTTATGTCCCGCAGTAACCCAAAACCCCAAACGCAGAAACCCTAAACCCAGAAAGCCCTTGAACCCAGATACCCACCAAGCCCCCAAACGCAGAAGCATTGTACCCAAGCGCCTGAACTCAGAAACTGAAAACCCAAAACCACTGAACAGAGGAACCGGTGAACGCAGAAACCCTACACCCAGAATCCCAGAAACCCTGAGCCCATATCCCAGAAACCCTAAACCCAGAATCCCAGAAACCCTGAGCCCATAGCCCAGAAACCCTAAACCCAGAAACCCAAAACCTTGTGCTCCAAACCCTTGAACTCAGAAGCTAACAACCAAGAACACCTAAACCCAGAAGTTCTGAACCCCCAAATCTGCGAGTAAGCCCAGAAACCCTGCACGCAGAAACCCTAAACCCAGAAAACTCCTGAAGCCAGAAATGCAGAACCCAGAAACCGCAAACCCCGGAAGCCGCAGACATCATAACCTGAAACCCAAAATCACCGAACCGAGAACCGCTGAACCCAGAAACCGCAAACACCCAAACACAGAAACCCTGTAGAACCCAGAATCCCTAAGCCCTTAAACCAAAACCTTAAACCCCTGGACGCTGCACCGAAGCACAATAGCGGCTTGAAGCAAGTCACATGTCGTGCTCGAATCGAGTGGCCGACATGCCGACGCCACAGGGGCGACGCCGGGCGTCGCAACAGGAATCCACCGAGCGGCGCCCGGCGTCACCCCGCTCCCACAGGTGTGGGCGACGCCGGGCGCCGCTCGGTGGATTCCTGTTGCGACGCCCGGCGTCGCCCCTGTGGCGTCGGCATGTCGGCCACTCGATTCGAGCACGACATGTGACTTGCTTCAAGCCGCTATTGTGCTTCGGTGCAGCGTCCAGGGGTTTAAGGTTTTGGTTTAAGGGCTTAGGGATTCTGGGTTCTACAGGGTTTCTGTGTTTGGGTGTTTGCGGTTTCTGGGTTCAGCGGTTCTCGGTTCGGTGATTTTGGGTTTCAGGTTATGATGTCTGCGGCTTCCGGGGTTTGCGGTTTCTGGGTTCTGCATTTCTGGCTTCAGGAGTTTTCCGGGTTTAGGGTTTCTGCGTGCAGGGTTTCTGGGCTTACTCGCAGATTTGGGGGTTCAGAACTTCTGGGTTTAGGTGTTCTGGGTTGTTAGCTTCTGAGTTCAAGGGTTTGGGGTACAAGGTTTTGGGTCTTAGGCGGCCAAACTCCCGGAATATAAAAGTTTAAACTTTTTCTTACTTGTGGGCTTGTGGAACCCTTTTCTAGCAAGTTGTATGGGATAAAGGAAGTTACATTGATGACGACTCTGCGCTCAGCAACTCATGACAGAAGCAGGCTGGGCTGTGCCAATTAATTGCCCGCCCTGCCCCCCCCCTTTCCCGAATGCTCTCGCGAGAATTCTTTCCATCGGCTCGGGACAGAATCCAGGCTTGTGCTGTACAACTGATTTGCACGCAGCGTCGACAGTCCACACTGCAATCCGACGAAGGGATCCGAACTTCTCTGCTTTGAAACCATATAGCTGAAAATATTCGGCCGCATCAAAACCATCTAGGTGCGAAGGAACGGCGAAGCCATTTAATTTGTAACCTTCATATACCATACAACGTCAAAGTGTCGATCCCGGAACTGGAAATCATAACACCAAGCTGCACATGCAAGGTGAAAAATCAAGACATGTAGCTGAGTGTGGGATTCGATGGTTTTGGCATTATCCTGTATGATTGATTAAATTTCCGTTTGGGTTCGCACCCACAATCAGCTGCGGTATTCCCGAATACCGCTTGGAGCTCTGCTGGAGAAAGACGCCGGCCTTCAGGGGAATCTCCTAACCAAAAGACCTGAAACCTTAAACCCTAAACCTTGAACCGAAACCTCAACCCCACTCCAAAATCAAGACCTCGGCTCGAGGCCCTGAGCCCTAATTAATTTACACCCTAAAAAATCCTAAAAACGAAACCTTGAAACGACTGCCGGTACCGAGCATCGAAGACTGTGCGCGAGAGCTCGGCGGCTCGACTGAGACCTTGTGCCGGCATGATAACTCTAGTCCGCACTCCGCACGACGCATATCGCATTTATAGCTTGCAATCTATTTCTGACATGTGCTGGCCTGTTACGACCTTACGCTCCCGAGGCACGGAGCCTTGATTCTCTTCACTACGGACGGAAACAACGGCTTCCAAAATAGCACCGACATCCACGTGGTTTGTTTGTCGAAACGAATCAGATCTAAGGTCTAAGGTGTATTAAGTTTAGGGTCCAGGGCTTAGCGTTCGCTCTGGAAATAGCGCTTCAGCGTCCAGGAAAGTAGTTTGTGACAGTGCACTGCCGGCTGCATGGTGTTACGTACACTTGTTGATAAGCCCCGACGGCACCTAGATGTCAAACAGGATCGGGGTAAACGATTATTCTTGCAGGCATTCACTCTCTAAGCCTATTATAAACCCGACAGCACATAGATGTCAAACAAGATCGGGGTAAAATATTAGTTGTGCAAGCCTTCGTTTTCGAAAAATTTACAATTCGACACCACCTAGATGTCAAACAAGATCGGGACAAAAGATCAATCTTTCAAGCATTCATTCTCTAAGCCTTTTTGGAACCCGACAGCACCTAGATGTTAAACAAGATCGGGGTAAAAGACTATTCTTGCAGGCATTCATACTTTAAGTCTTTCGCAGCACATGTAGTGGGATTTAGGGTTTCTTGAAACGGGAGCCTTTGGGGCGACTTGTAAACGGATTTAAGACCCGGTATCAGAGCCTTGAGCTAGACGTCGAAGAGGAGTGGGGTCAACGCTTGTTCCTCGAGGCCTAAACTCATTCCACATCTAGTATGCCCTTTAGATTGCACCAACTCCGTGGCTCCATGGCAAGGGCTTGCCTCGCTGTCTGAGGCTTGGGGCTTTCTGGCTAAGTATTGCCTTAAGGATAAAAATTAAACTTGGGTGTCGTAGCCGAAAATGAAATCCGAAGGCCTAAACCCCCAAAACCCCAAACCTTAAACCGCAAACCATAAACCCTAAACCTTAAACCCCAAACCCTAGGCCCTAGACCTTAAGCCCAAGCCTTAAACCCTAAACCTTAAACCCCAAAGCCTAAACCTTAAGCCCAAACTTTAAACCCCAAACCTTAAACCCCCAACCCTAAACCTGAAGCCCACACCTTGAACCCTAAACCTTAAACCCTAAACCTTAAACCCCAAACCCTAAACCTTAAACCCAAACCCTAAACCTTACACCCCAAGCCTTAAGCCTTAAGCCCAAACCTTAAACGCTAAACCTCAAACCGCAAACCCTAAACCTTAAGTCCACACCTTAAACCCCAAACCGTAAACCTTCAGCCCAAACCTTAAACCCTAAACCTTAAACCCCAAACCTTAAACCTTAAGCCCAAACCTTAAACCCTAAACTCAAGGATCTCTCGCTGTCGTGCCTTTTGGCCAAAAGTTCTAGACTTTAAGCCCGAAGCCTGAAACGAGGAAAAGCTCCAAACATCTCTTCCCGAAGCCTTGCCCAGACACCCTGAAGC